CCCCCCAATGGATCGTCTTGCGCACCCCCTGAGGTGTGCGCACCCCACTTTGGAGACCACTGCCCTACAGCACATTCTCAAGGGCTACATCCCATTACCCCTAATAATACACTATGAATTGCACTAATAATTTACGTCCTTCCTTCAAATACATAGACTGATCATGCTCATGGTCTCTTACACCAGCATTGGCTCTTTCAATCTTTCCTCATAAATAGGTCCCTTCAATTCCCTTATTTTTTTCTGCTCTTCTCAGAACTCCCCAAATTATTACTATATTAGTGGTAATTAGTACTGGGCAAAATTTTTCAGCTTTTGGGGGAGGGGGAAAATAAATAAATAAATAAATGCAGATTTAGGTTGACCGAAACATTTCTCAATTTCATGTTGAATTTGCTGCATTGTTTTGGTCAAAATAAAAATTTTAAAAATTCTGAAAAAAAGATCAAAATGTTTCAACATTTTTTAAACAAAACCTTTTGTTTGTTCAATTTTAATTGATTTGGTTTTGAAATTTCCTTCAATTTTATTTGAAAAGGCTCAAAATGGAAATGAAACGTTTCAATCATTTTGTTTGACCCAAAGTGATCTTTTTCCCCCTGACTTTTTGATACGTTTACATTTTGAAAAATTTTCATTTTCAGGTTGGCCCAAACCATTTTTTTTTTAAACTTTCTGGAATTGCCAGCAAACCAAAAAATCAGTTATTCACACAGCTCAAGTAGTAATGAAGTACTCAGTACTGAATGTAATCTTCCAGATGGGTCACATCAGTGCTGCTTAAAGAGAGATTTTTCACCTCCTTATTTTGTGATGTGAGACTTCTGTGTATCTACTCCAATTTTATAATGGCCTTTTTTGTAGCTATATCATGTCGCAAACTCATGTATAATTTGCTGTCCACTCTAACCCCATAGTCTATTTCAGCCATTCCTGGGTCTCTGGGTTTTGCTGCAACTCTGTGTTTTGGACTGTTTCTATGCTACTCTATTAGCTGCATTTTTTCAAGATAAATTTTATTATATTATTCGCCAAGGTTTCTAGTATCTCTCAGGTTAAGTAGTGCTGTTTTTATATCCTCATTAGTGGTTTGCAGTGCTTCCAAAATTAGTGTCATCTGCAAATTTCACTAACGAGTCTTTTACTCCATCTTCTAGATCATTCATGAAGATATTTAATAAAATAGGTACTAACACAAGTATCTGCAGTTCCTCCTAGACACTTCCCTACAGCTTGATACTGCACTGCTTATCATCGTATAGCCTTTCAAAAGTAACCTGTGGAAGATTACTGCATCACTTTTACTCACACCTGCACCAGAGGACAACTGCTCAATTGTTGATTTTAAACTCTTTGATGCAGGGACCAACTCTATTTCTGTTCATCCAATGCCAAACAGAAATGTCTCCTCTGGTAGGATTCTCTACATTCTGGATCATATAGTGTCACCTACATAACTCCGGAACCTTTTTGCTCGCCTGCATTTGTAGCTCAATAGCTGCCCAAGTAGTCAAAATCCTCATGAATACAAAAGGATCCTGTGTTTTCAAGTAGCTTGAGAGTTGGGCTAGAAATGTTTTGTTCTTTCCTTCAATCCTGGAAGTCATTTCTCTTTCCTCTGGCTGCCATAGTGATTTATCTTTCCCTTTTGTCTTCACCCACTTCCTCCTTCCCAAGACCCACCTTCAGAAGATCCATCCATGATGCTAACACTGTTATTTGGAACCAGAAAGGGTGACTCCTCAAAGACCTCTCTCACCTGAGGAAAGGAAAGATGGTTAGATTCTCTGGGCCTGGGGCCTTGCTCTCCACTGGGAGTGCTGGACAAAGCTTCCTCTTTCTCCCCAGACCAGTAGGAAGTAAGGCATGAGTGTGTGGTGTTAGGCAAAGATTTCTCTTCCTCAGGGCACTAGGAAGGAAAAAAGGATGTATACTAGGCCCCTCTCCATCCACCCTTTATGCCTGTATCCAGGCAGGGGGGTCTCAGGCCACAGCAGGAGGGTTTTAAGGACAGAGTTCTCATACACTCTTATGGAATTACAGCTGTTTTTCACATTTGGGACTAAGTTATGACAGAGAGCATGGAGAAGTGAGCTATGAAAGGTACCGTAAGAAGGATCATACTATTGCACAGAGATCTCTCAGGTTACCTCTGAGAGCAGAGCCTGGGCTTTGGGCTCTGGCAGCAGCCTCAGTCCAGCTGTAGCTTTCAGCACCACTGGGGTCTCCTTCCAATGACTACGTGGCACAGCTTCTTTGGCCATTTTCAACAATCCTTTCACAGTTTCTGCACCCTAAAAATAAACAGAAGCTGTTTCTCTCACACTATTCCCTTCAACGGGCAATCAGAAAAAAAAAAATCACTTTAGAGCCCCCTCCTTCACCTTAGAACACTAGGCAAAGTACATATCCCACAACAAAGGGTGACACACACACAAAGGGCCAGCAGGGCAAGTAGGTACCACAGTGATAGGGACTTAGGGAAGAGAGAGATCAGGAGGGCACATGCATCCTTAAGCATGGGAAGAAGAGACATGTTTACAGAGTTTTTTTTTATGACAGAAAATGCAGTTTCTTTGCGCATGAAATTCTAGGCTTTATATTTGCGGGGGAAAAAGTCTGATATCTGACAAACCTGGAAGTCATGCTATATAAATCAGCTAGTTTCTCTGGTACAATTACCGACTGAAGAGGCAAGGGGGAGGGAGCAAAGAAAGTCTCTGTAGATTTCAATACAGTGACATTATCATGTTCTGGGGTGCAATCCAGACCAGTGAGAGGTTGTGTCGCTGTCTGCCCTGTAACTCTGGGGGAGGGGATTCCAGGGGATGCTGCTGATCCAGGGGCAGGGGGCGGCCCGGGGCACCGCTGCTGCTCCCGGACCACTGCTCCTGGACCAGCTGGTGCGGCTGGCCCTGGTGCTGCCCCAGCTGCTTGGGTGGAGCTAGGGTCAGCCACACCAGCTGTTGCAGAAGTCCTGGAGGTCCTGGAAAGCCACGGAATCCGTGACCTCTGTGAAAGATTTGTAGCCTTACTGATGACATCAAGAAGGCTGATGCATTTAATGCCCACTTTGCTTCAACCTTGACAAAAAGATAGATTTTGAGCAGATACTTAACACAATTAATATTAAGAAGAAGATGGAAGGAACAGAAGCCAAAATAGGGAAAGTACAGATTAAAGAATATTTAGATAAATTAGATGCATTCAAATCAGCAGAGCCTGATGAAATTCACCTCGGGTACTTAAAGAATTAGCGGAATGAATCTTGAAACCACTAGTGATTATCTTTGAGAACTCATGGAGGCTGGGTAAGGTCTCAGAAGATTGGAGAAGGGCAAACATAGTACTTATCTTTAAAAGGTGGGGGGGAGAAGATCCAGAGAATTGTAGAAGTCAGCCTAACTTTGATAGCTGGAAAGATACTGGAACAAAATTACTAAACAATCAATTTGTAAGCACCTAAAGCATAATAGGGTTACAAGTAATTGTCAACAACAAATCAAAGTTCCTACTTTGGCAGGGTTACTGGCCTAGAAGATAGGAGGGAAGCTGCAGATGTGATATATCTTGGTTTTAGTAAGGCTTCTGACACATTCCCATGCGACATTCTCATAAACAAATTTGGGAAACAAGGTCTAGATTAACTATTATAAGGATGGAGCACAACTGGTTGAAAGACGATATTCAAACATTAGTTATCAATGGTTCACTAACAAACTGTAGGAATGTATCTAGTGGGGTCCAGTAGAAGTCTGTCTTTAGTCTAGTACTATTCAATATTTTCATTAATGACTTGGATAATGGAGTGGACAGTATGCTTATAAAATCTGTGGATGACACCAAACTAGGACGAGTTGCAAGCACTTTCCAGGACAGGGTAGGAATTCAAAATGACCTTGACAAATAAGAGATTTCAGACCCATGCAACATGATGAAATTCAATAAAGAAAAGTGCAAGGTACTACACTTAAAGAGAAATCAAGTGTACAACTACAAAATGGAGAATAAATGGCCAGGCAGTAGTACTGCTGAAGAGGATCTGGGGGTTATAGTGGATCACAAATTGACTATGAGTCAACATTGTGATCCAGTTGCAAAAAAAAAGGGGCTAATATTCTGGGGTGCATTAGCAGGAATGTTATATGTAATACACAGGAGATAATTTTCCTCACTCTACTTTGCACTGGTGTTCTGTGTCCAGTTCTGTGTGGCACACTTTTAAGAAAGATGTGGACAAATTGGAGAGTCCAGAGGAAATCTACAAAAATTATCAAAGACAGCAAACCTGGTTTATAAAGAAAGGTTAAAAAAAACTGGATATGTTTAGTCTTGAGAAAAGATGACTGAGGGGGGACCTGATAGTCTTTAATATGTTAGGGGCTGCTATAGAGAGGATAGCGATCAATTGTTCTCCATGTCCACTGAGGCAGGACCTGCTTACAGAATTTGGCAAGAACAGGGCTGGTATTGCAGAAAAACACATTCCTAAGAAGTGCTAGTCACAGAGTGCTCATGCAAACACATCCCGATATCAAGTGGTACCAGAACATCCGATATCAAGGACGGTACAAAAACATTCCCCAAGGATAACAGGAACACACTGACCCCTCCTAAAAGATAAGGTCAAGAGAACAGTACGTAATAAAAATGTTTTAATTGAACCAACATGTACCAGGTGATGGGTGATAACTAGAACGTCAGGAGGCAGTAACTAACTATGTCAAAGGGGCAGGACTAACTTGTTTGTATTGGGGTATAAAGATGTATCTTAGAGGGAGTATTTTTGGCCAGCCTAGAGAGCAGTGAAAAGTCCCACCATTGACTGAGCTGCAGCCATTGTCACAAGCATACATGTTTCAGTATCCTTGTAAAGTCTGCCAGGTGCTATTACTGTGCTTCGTCAACAATAAACCGGGCCGGGTGTCTTTGCTAAAAACCGAGTCTGTAAATTTATTGAGAAGTTTAATTAAGGTCTGTTATCTCCGCAGAGCTGGGACAGCACACTGAATAAACACACACACACACACACACACACACACACACTTGCCCCAAAACAGTTTTTAAGAACAAGTTGAACAAACACTTGTCAGGGAGGGTCTAGGTTTACTTGGTCCTGCCTCGGCACAGGGGGCTGGACTAGGTGACCTCTCGAGGTCCCTTCCAGCCCTACATTTTTATAATTCTATGATAAATCCAAAAAGCCATTCACTCTTTTTGGATTTAAAGCTTCCTACTCACATGGTCTCTCTTGAAGATGAGTTCCTGTAACATTGAATTTAGCAGCATAAACTGATAAATTTGCCGTCACCACTGCACACATTACACTGGCCCCACAGTCTAAGGCCAATGATGCATGGGAGACAGAGAAGCAAGTCTGACATTCCTCTATCGCTCCCCTTATTCTGTGCCACAAATTATTGGCAATGTGTAATTTTTGGAAATGCCGGCGGCCTACTTCAGGACTGACTCGGATTCTCCTTCTGCCCTACCCTGTTGATAGGTTAATTGCTGCCATGTCACTGAGGCAGTTGTGATTCATTAAATATCACCTAAATCTAAAGAAAGGTGGAAGTAGCCCTCTGGAGGGGAGACAGATTAGGGAAAGGAGCCGTAGGAGCAGTCATGCCTAGGGTTATTTGTTAATGGTCCTTTATGATAATAAAGCCAAACATCAGGAGGAGATTTTTTTTTTATTCTTTACAGCGAGTGTACAGTCTGTTTGGAATTGGGTGTGGAGTTCACAAGTTTACAACCTCTCCTTGTCATAGTCTCCTCCTCCTCCAAGCTGAATGGAGGGACACAGGTGCCCACACATTCATTTGAGAGGGCTGACAACTGATCCATGTGTATTGATCTCTGGGATGAAGTCATTTTCAAATCAACAAAGAAATACACAGGTAAATCAAGTACCTGTAATTCTGTCAGCTTAACATTAAGGAGTGGGTTCTTGGCAGGGTACAATAGAACATGGGTCTGGCAGGCGGGATACAGAGATCAAAATTACTTTCCTCTTATAGTTGACACTTGACAACTGTCCTTGAAAAGACTTGGAAAAGTGGGAGGTACCAGAAAATTGGTACTAGATTTATTTTTTTTCAGTCTTCAAAATAATAATAATAATTTGTCCATTTTTAGCACCTTCCTTTACAATGAATTAACCCCCACAACAATCCTGTGAGATAGGTAAACATTCTACTGATTTCAAAGATAAGGAAACTTAGGCACAGACAGAGGAGATTACTTTACCAAGGCCACACAATGAATCTGTGGAATAGAACTGTGATCTCTTGACTCCCAAGTCCTGTGCTTTAGCCTCAAGACCACCTGGGAAACTGCTGTCTCACTGTTACTGGAAACTTTAACATATATATTTCTTAACTTCATGTTTAATCTTGAAACTTTAATGTTTCATTAATCTAGGACAGTGGTTCCCAAACCTTTTTAGTGGAGCTCAACTTTGACCACCTCCCCACACCTAGTGTTCACCTTGGTTTTTGCTTTTTTGCTTGTCCACTTTCATTCTTTCCCTCCCCTGCTGTTTCTGGGTCTGTTCTCTAATCTATGAATTTTCCATCTTTCTTCTGCACTCCCTGTTCTTCATTCACCAGTAGAATGCACTGCTGTTCAATGTGGAGATGAAGTGTTACCAGTGGCTCAGGCCACCTGTATTTTTACAGATGAGCTGAATGACTAACATGGAAGCCGAGAAAAGGGTCAATGGGGCTGCTGCCTGTGTATTAGAAACTGCTTCTGCATGGCTGGCTCTCTTAGGGGTTGCAGAAGTAGGGCCTGAATCCAATGGGATCTGACTCTCAGGCTTAGGTCAGGTCGTCTCTGATCTCCTCCTCCTGCCCATGGAGTTTGCATGGCAGTGGTTGCTGTGTGCCCACTTCTGCCAGCCACCACCACCACCTTGCTGCACCCTGTGCTACGGAGTGAGTATGCCAAAGGGTTGCAGCACCTCTCAGCCTTTAAAATTAGGCCTGAGCAGACCTCTAACTGAGGCACTAAGGAGATGAGCAACTATTTGTTCTTGTCGCAGACCTGGTCAGGCTCCCTGGCTGGTGGCTCACCAGACTGCTGTGGGCGGGATCCAGTCATTGGTTTTAAGCCTCTGAAGCCTAAACAGCACTCAGGCACTTAGGCAGACTCTTGGGGTGCCAACCCTGCATCTAGCACCCTGTCCTGAGAGCGGAGACCCCTGCGGTAGAGATCTGCTCAGGCGTGTTTTTAAAGCCTGACCCAAACCCGACTACACCACAGCTGACCTGAACCGAGCCTGAGAGTGTCGAGTTGTTTACAGACTCAACCCAACCATAACACTTTGCCCTAAACTTATGTCAGCACCACTGCTGCCTTGCCTTTGGGGGTTGACCTGATGAGGGCTTCGCACTCCCCATGCCCTGTGCTCATGATCCATCTCTAGCTGCCTCCTGCCCATGAGGTGAGCACCGTAATGGCTGCATGCCCCACTCATGCCAGCTGCCATCGCCTTGCTGCGCTGTGTGCACCATGGAAGAAGAGCACCGCGACTCTTTAGCACACTAACTCCATGGCACACCCACAATGCAGCAAGATGGCAGCAACTGCCAGGAGCAGAGTAAGCAGCTGCTGCCAATCCCAAGGGCAGGAGGAAGTGATCAGAGATGACAAAACCTGAGCCTGGGAGGGTCAGGTTGTTTTCAGACCCGACCTGACCCTGACACTTATAGTTGAATCCCGTTGGATTCGGGTTGGGCTGCAAAGCTCAACTATGCAGTCAAACTGCCTAGCCTCATGAATCAATGCTGACACCTCTAGACATCCCTGTAGCTTAAACACACCGTCTCGCAGATTTCCAACCAAAGGTGTGAACCTTCTGGTTTCCCTCTTCCAGGGGCCACATGACAGGTGTAACACATAATGCACACAGACACTGTGTACAGAATTCTAACACCATTGCTCTGTACTTAACAGATAAGGCACAGCCAGATCCCCCAAATTATCACATTTCTCTCCCCCCCCCCCCATCACAAATCTAGTTGCTCACCAGATTGCTGTGAGGGGATATACTGAAACCCCCCTCCTCCATGTGCTTTCCTGGGTCTCAGTAGACCGCAACACTGTTTCCTCCCTCGGCCTCTCTAGCACATTTCCTGGGCATCAGCTCTGTCTATTACCCTTTCACAGAAATGGAGCCCCACGGCCCACTTGCTGTAGGCCCCTCAGGATCAATGCTGACTCCAAAGATAACTCAGTACTTAAAACACATCCTGTCCCAGAACTCCATCCAAAGGTGTGAGCCTTATGGTTTACCTCTTTCAGAGGCCACATGGTAGCTGTTGCATCTAACAAATCCAGACTTTGCACAGGACTTGAACACAACATTGCTCTTTACTTAAGGCATGAGAAACAGAGAGTACAGCATATATAGAGAACAACAAACATCCTGAATGCAATGCCTCTCCCTCTAGCTCGTCATTCCCCTATCAGTCCTTGGGGAAACATCTGTGTTCAAGTAGCCATGGTTTCCCTCACGTCATCAGGCTACTGCAGTAGCTTCTCTCAGCTTGAACTGGTGAAAATGGCTCAAGACCCCAAAGAGATCAGCTCTTGCCCTTTTATAACCTTCCAATCCCTGTCAGGTGATTCGTGGATCTGCCTCCTCAGCTGACTTTATTGCCAGGTCATCTCTCCCCCGACAAACCAGTTCTTCTAGTTGGAAGCCAGTACACGATCTAGGGTTTTTGTATTTCAATAGAGCAAAGTCCCAATTTATTGTCAGTCATGCATCACAACACCTTGGAATTTCAGTCCGTCATGTCAGTAATAGGAGAACAGAGAAGGTAAAGAATCCCACATCCAAAACGGAGTTTGCACACAGATACATATAAAAAGCCCCCCAATATCAAACAGAATTCATAAGTTGTACATACAGATTCCCCAATTGTCACAGTACCTGAAGCAATTACTTAGCTAAAAGTGTAATAGAACATTGTACTGTGCATTTCTGAAAATGAATTTTATATCGCTTAGAACAAGGATCGGCAACCTTTGGCACGCGGCCTGCCAGGGTAAGCCTGGCTTACTCTGGCAGGCTGCGTGCCAAAGGTTGCCGATCCCTGGCTTAGAGCTTCAGTATTGATTCTGCTCCACTAAAACTTATAAAAACTATTTCTCACTGAAGTCTCGCTGCATACAAAGGTTTACATTTATAGTTCTTTTGTCTGAGAGTTTTCCATGCACAAAATAGCAACTTTTTTACAGCTGGAAAGAGGTTTTTTCTTTCTTTCTTGGTCCACTATATAACTCAAGCAGGATTTGTTTCCCCTCAAAATTCCCAAGGAAAAAAAATTCACCTTTGTACTGAGACGTATCAGCCCAAAAGGAAAAATTGAGAAAGTTACTAGTAAATGAAAATGGAGCATTTACTTAACTGTCATGTTTGGAGTAGTTACAGAGAAAAGAGTGAATATGGATACTGGTAGTACAAAAATCATGTTTTTAAATTACTATGGAATAGGAACTCTGCTAAGAAAGCATACAAGTTCCACCTCTAATAATAGTAGTTATTCTTTGCTCTAAATCAGAGGATCTGAAAGAACTTTAGAAATAGTTAAACAAACCTCACATTTTCCATGTGAAGTAGGCAAGTGTAATTATTGCCATTTGAGAGGGGTGAAAACTAAGGCACAGTGGTGAAGTAACTGTGGTCAAAGAGCCATTCAGTGACAGATGTGTGAACAGGTCCCTTAAATCCGGACTCCCAGTTCCCTGTGCTAACCATTAGATATAGTCAATCATGTTAAGTAAATTACAGGTGGCATTAAGATAAGAAGACCTATTCACAGGCAACATGGGAGATTCCAGAAAAGTCTTACCTTTTCAGGCTGATCAACATAAGCAGAAAGACCTGGCTTCACTGACTCAAAGATCTCCCCATCCAGCTCTGGAGGCTGCTCTGCACAAATGAAACAAAGCAGAACATGAGAAAGCCTATACCACCTGCTCTGCTGCTCTTTAGCTTCAAATTTAGGACCAGATTATTTCACATGACATCCATCCCCTATATCTCCCTGCAGATAACCACCACCCCTTTCCAATACAAACACTGATCCTCCTTTGCCAGGGAAAGATTTAACAAAATGTGCCCCTTCTTCTCCAAATTCATTAACCACCTGTTAAAAACACATCAAGTTACAATACAAGGAAACATATCAAGTTTCCTAAGGACAATGCATGAAAATGCCATCCAAGCCTCAGTGAGACTTATTCCCCTTACACAAATTGCCCAGATTAAAGCGTTTGGAAACTGAGAATTTTCTTCTATGCCCAGAAGTTCAACAGCCTTTGTTAGATTAACAGGGAAGAGAGTTGCACAGTGAAGCCCCACCACATACTAAAAACAACCACCACCCAGAGTTTGGATCTAGGGGCTGATAGTAGAACTGCCCCAAACTCCGGGATGGTGCATGAGGAGAAAAGCATCTCTAAGGCAGCCAGGGCCTAAGCCAATATGATCAGGGTGTGGAATCCTGCAGGTTGGATCTCTGAGAAATGCCCTTATTTGTTGGAATTCTGCCATTCAGCCTTACCTGGGTTTTTCTGCACAAAGGTGTAAATGTGAATTCGGGTCCCGGTACTTCCTGCATCAAACATGATGCCATAAAAGGTGTTGGTACGGGCATTTGCAAGGCACACACTAGATGGAAAGAGACCCTGAAACCACATCTCCGGGCTGGGATGGGAAACAATGCAGTAGATAGAGGAAAGGGCCAGCATTAGAAAGATGGCGAGCCAGGTAGCTGCCATCCTGCAAGGAAACCTTGGGGCAGCTGGAGTATGGATCAGCGTTCACAGAGTTGCAGGAGCTCCTGGAGAGTGAAACAAGAACAGAGGTTACCAACAGCTTTCTCCTTCATACCTCTGTTTTAAGGAATCTGCCCAGCACAGAAGCTACCCACCCTTAGAAAAGGAAGGTGTCCATCCTGACTGCCCCTACCCAAAGGACAGGTGCTCCCGGCTATCCCCACACTAGAGACAGGGGCTCTCCCTGTAAGTGCTGCAACTGCACCTGACTAATTTGCTCTTTCAGAATAAAGGCTCCTCTCTGTTGCTGCAGACATCTGCATGGAGCATTTAAAAACTGAGTCCCAGGATACCTAATCTTGATTTTGTACACAGAACCTTCTCTCTCACCTGGGCTTCCGGATCAGATTTACACTCCTGGGACTTTCCTGACAGCTCAAGCCTCAGCTGAATTCACACCTTATGTAAGTGGAGCTCAGGGCTGGATCTCTCCGTCCTGACATCCACATATGGGATGCTGGCCTGGAACAGAACAAAAATGTCATTCAGTACCACAAACAAAGAGAATTTCATCTCAGGCTGATGGCAGCTGCTTGGAGAGATCAGTGTATGGGGAGGGTAAAGAGCATAGACTGCAAGCGGCACAGTGGTCACCAAGAGGGATCTGTGCTGTAGAAAGGGAGACTAAATGGTGAAGCGCACCTGGCCCCAGTTTCTCAGCCCCCTCTCAGTGTTCAAACATCTCTGATGGCTTTTTGCCTACAAGTCAGTTGTTTATCCTCCCCTCTTGGTACAAAGTTCTCTGCTTAAAACCAGCCAAACGAGGACAAACTATTTTTACACTTTGACCAGGTATCTCCCTCTCTTTCGCAGAACGAAAACTGCTCACATGGCCTATAATATGCCAACATTATTTACCATCTCCCAAGTGCATGACCTAGCATTAGGTATCAAGATTCAGCAGCTTTCCTCTCCTATTATCCTCCATTCTGTGATTAAAGCCTCCCTGCACGCTTGTCTTGCAAGGAGATGCTAACAAAGGAAACACAGGTACAGAAACTGCACAGCCACTAATCAAGTGCTTAATTGAAGCAAACAGAGAAGAATATAGTTGTCTTTATTATTTGTATTGAGCAACACCAAGAGAACCCTGTCAGGGCCGCATTGCAAACACATATAACAAAAGTACCCTAGCACAGCATTTCTCAAATGTGGCCACCGTGGCCGTATGCCACCACCAGGGGCTTTTCTTGCGGCCACAGCCTCCTGGGCTGCGATGGGGGCAGAGAGCAGTGGCCCCTCTCGCAGAGCCACCAGTGGGGGTTGGGCCCTGTCCCCCTCTGGGGAGACAAATGCTGGAGGTGCAGGTAGTTGGTGAATTCCCCACTTTCCGGGGGCAGAGGGTGGGGCAGGCTTCGGCAGGAGGGCTTCATCTACATGGTAGCAGGCTCTGGTCCCAGGCTCATCATTCATGTCATCGTCCCTGGGTCCCACGGCCTCCCTGCCCACCTCCCCATCTAGGGCTTAATTTCTCCCAGGGCTTGCCGGAGCTGAGTAGGTCTGCTGTGAAAAGTGAGATTAACAAACATACAAAGATCACTTTTCACAGCAGCAGACTTACTATCTAGCAAGTTTTTTTTAAAAGCAACCAAAAAAGCAAAAGAAACAAACAACAAAAAGACAAGAACATGCAAAGCACCTTATTTGTGTTCTATTCTGTTTAGGTCCAGTAAAGAATAGAGACCACTGTACATTATTTTTATTACTGAGTCTGAAAAAACCCTACATAAATAAATTACAATGATTTGGACATGTATATTTGCATATTTGTTTTTTCTAAAGTTAATTAATTATTTTAGGAAAAATTGTCAGCGTGGCAACCAGCAAGAGTTGGTGGCTGCACTTGGAGGCCACCAAAAAATGTGTTGTGAGAACCCCTGCCTAGCATATAAAACACATCAACACAACTCATCCACCTCAAGATCCTCCCTCACACCCTCCTCCTGGACCTGTTTGTCCACCCCACACCTCACTTGTGTGCATGTCCATCTACTGTGCTTGAGAGTCTTGCCTGCTCCTCGACCCTGCACTTGTCACCCTGTGGATCCTTGCCTGTTTCTGGCTCCAGTGTCTGTTTCTCCTGTAAGGATCCTTACCTGACTCTTGCCTCTGTCAAGAGAGAATATGAGGAGCTGCTCTGTGCCCAGGGCGTAATATGATATAAAGTCACATTAGGAAATCCTGCTCTTTGATTGGTCGGTAGCTGTGGTGCTATCCTAGCACAATACAGCTCAGGACTATTTTATTTATTGAAAGGAATTACAAATAAAACCATGCACCTGCCTCAGGTCATAGCTCTGATGCAGCCACACTGTGGAGGCTTTGGATTACATCACAGCAAATGTGATACCTATATCCTTGTATAATCCCTAGAAATAATCCACTAATTTCCTTCATTAACACTATTTGGCTATTGTCATTTTTTTCTGGTAGATGAGCCTTTCCCTTCCACCTGCTCCTTTCTAAACCTCTTCCTTGAGCATCTCCCCACTCATCTACTCTCTCCTTACCTTCCCAATTTTCCACGTCTCTCCATGCTCTCCTCCCCCACCCCCCAAATTAAATCGGTCAACTCTTCTTCCCTCACTCCTCACTGAAGTGCTGCCAGGCCAGAGCAACTTTGAGCCTCTCTGCTAAGTGTGTGGAATGCTCACAGCCCAGTGGCACTTCAGTAGAGGGGAATTGGACAGTCTTAAAAAGGATAAGGAGAGAGTAAGAGGAGAGAGGTGGTAGAAGAGTTGGGGAAAGCAAGACAGAAAGTGGGAATGGAGAAGGGTGGTATCAGATGGGGAAGGGTGAAGGGGAGGTTGTAGGAGCAAGAGAGTTAAAGGAAGGAGCAGAGGGAGAAGTCTGGGGCAGAGTTGTAAATCACCTCTCCTGGAGAAACCTAGGGAGAGATTAGGTACTAAGAAACAGGAATGTATTTTCCAGTTTTTTAAAATTCAAATCACTTAAACTTGCATGGACTTCTATTGGTGTAACCTCTCCCCCAGCTCATTCTATGAATAGTTTATTCAAATATTCCATAGGAATATGGATATAGGGCCATTTGATAATCTTGCAGACTTTTCAGGGTGTGTGTGTCTGCTTCTATGCTAATGACTAGCCCAAAGGATGGCTATTTCCCAACACAAGACATATCTAACTTTGTCCCATTGCTTCATTAGAATTTTGGCTTGTGGTCGGGGCTCTCCAGATGTTTAGGTCAGCTCATGGTCTAAGCAAATGGTCTCCTCTAGGTTGACAAAAGCACTAATCTTGGGATTAATTAATTATTATTTGTATTGCAACTTGGTTGGGCCCCATTGCACTTTGCATTGTACCGACAGAGTAAAAGACAATCTCAGCTCCAAAGAGTTTACAATCTTCGTTTAAGACAAGGTGCAACAAGTGGGGTGAAACAAAACTGAGAGGGGAGAGAAAGCAGACAGGATAAACAGTAATACTAACACGTTTTGCACAGACTGAATGTTCAATTTTAGTAGGTATAATAAGCAGATCAGCAGAAGGAATCTCAGCTTGCTACCTGCCTACCCCTTATCAGATGGCAGTAATAATTATTTGTAGTATGAAATGCAAAGTATGTTAGCCACACACCTGAGGTTGCGAGTCCTGAGGCAAGATTTAGGCAACTGCTCCTTCCTGACAGGCAGCTTTACAACAACTGGGAAGCTGTGACAGCGAAGACTTAGCCTGCACTCACCTCTTCTTCACCTTCGCTTTCAGCTAACATGACTGGACTATTTATCACGCAAGCTATTCGACCAGGGAGGCACATGAAATTTCATGCTAGCTGTTCTTTATGAGTTTGGGTTTATCATTGATCTAGTGCTGACAAGCATGCATAGGTCTTTAGTTAAGCCAGATAAGTACAAGGTTCCAGACAGCTTAAATATTCAACTGAGATCAATAAATTAGTAAAACATTTAACAAATTGACAGGAAGTTCATTTCAACAGCATTAGCTCTGCCAAAATTGAGCCTGTCATCATATAAGCTGGAAACAACCACAACTAGCCACAAACCCCTGCAGTAAGATCAGCACAGGGCAGATTTATATATTAAAATGAAAGAAAATTTAAAGTACAACCAAGGTGAAAGCACTGAGGCAAAAGGAGTTCAGCTGTATACTTAGATGCTGAAGAGCCAGAACAGTGGAGGGAGGAACAAGGTTGCCCCAGAGTCAAGATGGAACAGGAAGTCCCAGGGCAACAGAGCTTGCAAAGCAGAACCTTATTTCAGCTCTGTCACATGGAAACCTCAGCAGTATCTGTTGGGGGTGAGGGGAGAGATGGGATTGTCTGTGGAGTTGTAGGGGAACTTGGGCCCTCCCTGCTTGAGCAGGTTCAAACCCAGGGCCCTGTGACTGGCAAGTCGGATACGCAGCCTGGGGAATGACACTACCAAGTCTGTTCCGTAGGTCACTTCCTACCGCAGCCTCTGCCCCTCCAAAGCCACCACGAGGTGTACTTATGGACTCCCAAGGGGCGTTCTGCCTCACAGCGATGCAGAGGCTCTTCTCCTTCAATTGCGGCCTGTCGTTCCTGGTCTCCATGGGGGCCTCTGGTGACTCGGCAACGGGGGTTGCTTCCGACAACATGGAGCTCCTGAGGCTTCTCCGCAGGGGCCAACCGCGTAGGACTGCTCCCTTCCTCCTTCTGCCTAGACTGAGCGGGGCTGCTCCCTTTTGATCTTTGCCTCCATTGTGAGCCTGCCCAGCAGGTGTGGCTGGGTGGGGCCCTCTGGGCCCAGAGCTGCTCTTTAACTCTTGATTCCCCAATGTGGGGCTTATACACCCCATCACAGTATCCCAGGGCAAGGAAGTCTCATTCATATCTCCATGTATCCCATGCAGAGGAGCATGTGGGATCCCAGACTGTTGTGATGAGAGCTCTAACATTCTAAGGACATTGGGGAGAGGCCCTCCATCCTAAGTCCAAGGTCCAAATTCGATGGGGGGTGGGGGGGAGAGAAGGGATAATAAGTGCTACAGAAACATCTCAGATACACCAGAACCACCCCCCACACACACACACACACCAAAAATAAATAAATTAGGAAACAGAAGGCAGAAACTAAGTGATTCACTTTGTACGCTTATTTCTCCAACATGAGAAGCCATCAGTGGTGCTGGAACTAGAGGTGTTGGGGGTGCTGCTGCACCCATTGGCTTGAAGTAGTACAGTAGAACCTCAGAGTTACAAAAACCAGAGTTATGAACTGATTGGTCAATCACACACCCCATTTGGAACTGGAAATACGCAATCAGGCAGCAGCAGAGACAATACATAAATAAATAAATAAATAAATAAATAAAGTGAGCAAATACAGTACAGTATTAAATGTAAACTACTTAAAAGAAGGGAAAGTTTAAAAAGAGATTTGACAAGGTGCTTGTTTCATTTTAATTAAGATGATTAAAAGCAGCATTTTTCTTCTGTATTAAGTCAATGTTCTTTCAAAAGTTTACAAAAGACGTATAACATTTTGTTCAGTTATGAACATTTCAGAGTTACGAACAACCTTCATTCCAGAGGTGTTTGTAACTCTGAGGTTCTACTGTAATAACAAACACCAAATACATAGTTTCCATCCACAGCACCCACACTATAAAAATCGTTTCAGCACTCCTGGAAGCCCCACATTTCCAAAATGAAATGCTTGCAGTTCTGTAAGCAAAATCAAGTTCCCAGAGTCCTAACTTTTATTCCTAGAACTTTCATGTATATGACTTTAGATAGAAATACACTTTTACCCGTGTATTTACTTTTTCAGCACATAACTCATGATGAAATTTTAACCAGAATCATGAGAATGTAGGAAAGAAGTGCTCTCTTGATGCTGAGCTGGTCACACAGAAGTGCAGGTCTTTTTAAAATTATTGATTCTGAATTCAACAGTTCCTTCTTCTGTGATTTTACTGCCAGAATTTTGCATCTGTTAGCCTTTTTAAGCGTTACTAGTGCTGAAATAATTTTGGACTTTAAATGTTGTGGGTGAAAATGACATGCAACTGCAGTGCTACACCAGCAGCCAGTATATTCCAAACTGCGAGACGAGTCATCTGAATAAAGTGACAACTTTCTTTGCAAATGTAGATTCAGGGTACAATTCTGGATCTTCAATTTTAAATGCTAGAAGAAAAGGAACAAACTCACAATTATGTTCTAGCAGCCATTTTCAGCCTCTTCTTCCTGTACCAGGGCTCAATTTTTTTTTTTTTAAATTGTGTCCTATTGGGATTTCAATTTTGTTAATTAGATCAAGATAGATTTCCACTGAGATTGCAACAGCAGTCTCATCTGCCTATAATATGTTGATTTCTGTCCCAATAGAACCTTCATTTGTTTTTATAAATGTAATGCCTCCTTACATTGTCCCCTGTTATGTAAAATGCATGCTTTGTTTTGCTCAGTCTTCCTTGTACTGAGTGCAAATATCAGCATATCTATGGTAATTGGATGCAGATATAGACACAATCTTCCTAAGTGTTCCACGAGTGCCACTGGGAAGCTGCAACATCAATCCTCCTTTTTCAATCAACCAACCATTATGGTGACATTATGGCTGCAGACTTTTTGGACTTCCATAATGTGCCTTAGTGCTTGGCATTATTTCTTTCTCACCAAGTGCTAAACAGGGTGTTGAACAACCATGTGTCAAAAATTTAGGCTGAAAGGATGAGTTCTTAGTACAATCATTTCATTTTTACTGTCAGAACAAATGACAAAAATGTCATTGACTTATTTTTCTCAGTATTCTATTGGATGGCATCTTCAGCAACTTGAATACAATATTCTGTGTTTTTTGTTTCAGATGTAGAATCAATAGCATTAAGCAGGAACATTTTTCCCTGTATGGTTGTTTGTTACTTTTATTAGATCATTTTCATGTCTGATCAATCACCTTCCATAATATCTGTTTATTCTTTTAGCCCTTCCTTTAAATTTCTTCTCCCCCTGCACTTGTAACATCTAATAGCAGACCTGTCTGTTCCAGAATATTCAATGAGAAATGCTTCAATCACTTCTTTAAATTGTTCATTTTCTGCTACATTAAAGGTGATGGTAACATACAAGAAGGCTTGAAACTCTGAGACTCAGTTGTTTTTACGGCACAATCACCAACTGCTGTTTGCCATTTTTAGGATGTTAAAAAAAAAAAACCCGACTGCCTCTCAAAGAAGTTGATATTAAAGTTCTGCTGGAATGCGTAGAACAAGGACAAATTGCTACTACAATACGATTAATAAATTGCAGCTACATTTCAATGATGATGGCACCAAAAGTGTCTCAGTTGCAGGCTCAGCAACCTCAATATTCTACTCTCCTGCTGACTCCTATAGACAAAGTTTCATTCGATGATGTATTTAGTCTTGAAGAAACCGATTTTATCACATGAGCAAGAATTCTTTGTATATTGTTATTTACAACTTTTTAATAACATTTACTTTTTACCTTATAAGAATTTAATCATTTCAGTAAAATCAATAACTTGCTTTCTACCACTTCAACTTTAGGTATGTTGAGTAAGGAATTCATATGCTGATATTTGGTAATGAATAGACACTTGTCATCTGTATGCAATATTGACCAGAAGCTTCCACATTTACTATTGTCAGAATGACAAACATCTAGTGAATTCAACACTGTAATCTAAAGACTGAAAAAAATCAGATGAACTAGCCAGCTCTACTTTTGTTTGACAGAATCTAGAAAGTTCTAGATTCTGGCAAACTAAGCCTCCTCAGACAGTTTAGAGCTCCACTTACTCCTATTTTTAATACCCAATAGCAGTTTTTTCCACCCACACTCTTCTATCTTTATTATTTGAATTACCATAGTGTCTAGGAGCCCTACTCTTTGATCAGGACCCCATTGTGCTAGGCACTATACAAACACAGCACAAAGACCGTTGTCAAGTGTTTTATAGGCATGATGGCAAAGGAGGTTTTAAGGACGGATTTGAAGGAGAACAATTAAATGTATTTGCAGAGGTTTATGGGGAGTTTCTCCCAAGCATGGGGCAACATGGAAGAAAGCATGAAGGTGCTTGTTTGAATATTTAACAAGTGGGTGATGGAGGCTGGCATCATGGGAGCTGACCTTTTGATACAGAACAAGAAATGACAGGCAGGATGGAGATAGGCCATGAAAGGCCTTGAAATTAAGACAAGTAGCTTTTGCTTGATGTGATAGAGAAGGAGGGAACAGTGGAGGGATGCAAAGAGAGGGGTAGCATGGTCAAAGTGATGCGCTAGAAGAACCATCTTTGCAGCAACATTCTGAATGGATACGAATGGAGTAAGAATGAATTTGTCAAGGCCAGAGAAAAGGATGGTGCATAAGGCCCCACTTAACTTGCGATATTGCAGAAATTGCTGATTCTGCAATATTAGGCTTCCACCGCAATTTTGACAGCGGGAGCCCCGCTGTGCATAGCACTGACAGTGGGAGCCCCAGGTCTCAGATCTCAGCCCCAGCCAGCGGGAGCCCCCGCTCTCAGCCCCGTGCCCTGGCTCTCAGCCCCAGGCAGCTGACAGCGGGAGCCCCCCTCTCAGCCCCGGCTCTCAGCCCCTGACGGCCGACAGTGGGAGCCCCCGCTCTCAGCCCTGGGTGGCCAACAGCGGGGGCCCCTGCTCTGAGCCCCTGGCTGACAGCAGAAAATCACGGAAAAGTAATAATGAACTTTATTACTGCAAATAATAAGGTCCATTATTTTAGCCATGTTGAGCTTGAGCTAACAGACATCCACGAGAAGAAATCAGAGAGACAGGCTAATATTTTAGTTTGA